AGCTTGTCGATTTGAAGGTTTGCAAAATTCAAAATTCAATTCCACTATTTTTTAGATTTAGAAAAAAGTTCCCCTAGATTTATGGCTATTTTGTAAACCTCAGATCTTCATCGTTTCTCCACATCTCTACTGTTCTTTCAAAAATCTCATTTTTGCTCACGTAAGGAAATCTGCCAGAGGTTTATCTAGGTAAGGCTGAGTTTGCAATTCGTAGACAACTTTGCCAAATTTTGGGGAGCTTGAAATTTTTGCTTTGTGCGGTACAATCTTTTACAACAATTCCAATCCCAACAAATAGGTTTACGCTTAAGGGTGCGATAAGCATGTACTTACTTAAAAATCTCACGTATTAATTACATAGAAGTTTCCAGCCTGTGAGACAATAACAAAAAACATTACTGTGTCTGAGCAGGAATGCAGAACGGTTAGTAAGGCAAATTCAAGTAAGTAGAGTGGTAAATACATGGTAAAATGAGGTTATAGTCTTCAGAATTAACATGGTTGTTTTCCCAAGAGTTTATTCAAATTGCGCATACTTTACATATATTTTAGAATCTTGCAAAAACTAGCTTTTTCTTTTGTCGCGAAATACTTCAGTAGAAAGGTTGAGTGATGCGAAAATTACCAAATAATACTTTGTGCACCATACTAAGATCAACCTTCCTTTTTTTCTATGTTAAGATTTCAAACATACGATGACGACTTCTATTCACTTTCTATTCAAGATAAGATAATATAGAAAACTTGTGGCTTGTACTAAATGCTTCCTTAAAAATATTTTGCAATTTTTGTAAAGTTGACAGCTTTTGCAAATGTGTAAGGTAAATTCTTAGCTTCTATTTTGGAGAAGTTAAACTATTCTAGTTTCTTATTCAAGTTGAGGTCTTATTTAGACTTTATAAGTTATAGCGTGAGCTGGTAATAACTCATCAATTTTGTGAGTAGTTGAAATGTTGAATCCGTATTCATATGAACAACGTTTATGAGAACATCACCTAGATACGCTCTTTAAATAGTTAAGTAAGGATCTGCGAAGGTAAAGTAGAGTATTAATGGTACAGAAAACCCACATCGACAAATATCTTGTTACAGTTAAAAAGTGCGCATCCTACTTGAAAAATATAGTAAGAAGCAGGCAATTAGGTGACAAGATCGCAACGAATATTTTGAAAAAAATTTGCG